CCCCAAAACCCCAAAACCCCAAAACCCCAAAACCCCAAAGAATTATATATTATTGAAGACCATAAATTAAAGAGGGATGTTTACAACATTGTCATCAACCAAGGGTTTCGCTATCGGGCTTTGTGCAACCTCATTAACCACAATTGGGGGTAGTTTCTATCTATACAATGATAGAAAGAAAAAGCTTGACTCTCCTATTGCACAGAGAGCACTGAAGGTCCTCCTTTCAGACAAAAGAGTTGTAGATTTCTGTGGAGAAAACATTAAGCCTGGATATTTCATCACTACCAAAGGTATCTCATCATCAATCTAATGTATTATAGAGAATAAGAAAGAGGGATCAAAGACTTACACATTCAAAATTTCAGGGGGCTCTGGAAAGCTCAAGACAGTAATCACAGCAGATAGTGCCTTCCACGGCAGCTTAAAAATATTTAATGAGGAGTTAGAAGAGCATCACCAGAAGAAAGAAACGAAGGAAAAAGACTATGATGTTGAAGACTTTGAAGACAATTGGCCAATTGACCTTGAAGAATACAACATCCCCAACGATACTCTTTATAAGAAATGGAAAAATGAAGATAATATCGAAGAAGAAAATAAAAAGAACATTTTTGAAAATGAGAAAATCTGGAGGATCAAAAGTCTCCGTGTCTCAGTTGATGAAGATACCAGAATCTTACTCCTTCCTCTCCCAGAGAGTAAGAGAGAGAAGAAGTTAATCGACACCCGTTATGCTCTCGAGACCAACGGAGACCTCTATACCATATTCAATGATAAACAAGGAATCTATAAAAGTATTGATAATGAGAATTATAAAAGATTTGAGGATAAAACTTCAGAAGAAATTGAGGAAGATATCAAAGCTAAAAGAAGAAAGCAATTCCAGACTATGACGAAAGTGAGAAAATACCAATTCATGTTCTTCTTCGGAGCTTTGATTGGATACATATTGCTCTGGCCTAGAATTTCACCAAAACCTATCCTTAACAGCACTATGTATCACTATGCAGTAGATTTAATTCAAAAGAATAAATTTGTAAAGCAAAAGCTTGGGGAAAATTTCATGGTTGTTTCTTGCAACGGGCAAAGAATCCCTTTTCTAAAACACCCAGATTTTGAAATTGTAGCGAAGGGTAAAAATAGTAATGCTAAGTTCTTAATATCCCCTTCAAAGGATGATGATTCAGAAAATATTAACAGTATCTACATGCTTTCAAGTGAGGACCTCAAAACTTATAAAATCTAAGTAAATTCAATTTACAATAATATTTTCGGGGTTTTGGGGTTTTGGGGTTTTGGGGTTTTGGGGTTTTGGGG